AAGTGGCCTAGCATTGCTTCTCTCTCTCCCCCCTTTCTCTCTCTCTCTCTCTCTCTCTCTCTCTCTCTCTCTGTGTGTGTGTGTGTGTGTGTGTGTGTGTGTGTGAGAGAGAGAGAGAGAGAGAGAGAGAGAGAGAGATCAGACTTTCTGGAGTCTCTGCTGGCTTCATAATTTTACGAACCCTTTAACAGCCTCTGCTGTTCTTTCCTGAATTCACATTTTGTGGTGCAGATGTCTTTCTGGGACATATTGTCCAATGCACTTCTGATTTTGTTTCTGACCTGAATCCTCATTTGGAGATTCTGATAGAACTTAGCTTGAAGCTTTCGCCTCTGAGAAGTTTCAGAGTTCCCTTTCCACATCTTTTACCCCCAGTCTTCCCAGAATCATTCAGTTGGTTCAGGATGCTTCTTCTCCACCATGCTGATCAAGGAATGTGTCATCTACAGGATGGTAAAATTCTCCCCCTGCCCAGTTCTTGTGTTGCCTTGATGGAGATGCTGCTTCCAGCCATAGCAGTCCCAAGTGAACCCCATGAGCACTGGCACATTGCTCCTGTGTTCTTTCCTTAGTGAATGGTCTGTCACCAGTTAAATTTCCCAGTTAAATCATCCATAGGTAATAATCTTACATCGTAGAAGTCAGGTGTATATTCTTGGCTCATTCAATTAATATTCCAATTCTTCTAAATAAACACTGGAAAGGCTTTATTTTTTGTACCCTACGTAAAAGCCACCTCCCCCTTTTCTACAGAGACTCTAAGACAACGGGGTTCTCTTTGGCTTCATCCTCATGCTGTCCTCTCTGACCCCCTAGGCACAACCTGGCTCATCATCTTGGCCACTCACAATACTTCTCTTTTTGTCCGCGGCTTTCATTTCCTCATCTTCATCTTAGTTTTCTAATATTGTCTCCAACATTTGTTGCTGCTTGTGCTATTGGATTACTGTTACCTGAGATTCTACCTCTTTTTCTGCCTTGGGTCCTGGCAGGATAAAGCCAGGTGCTGCCTCCAAAGTGAAAACCTGCCAGAAGTCTGCATAGTAGGGATGTGAACTTTAAGTGCCAAGGGTACATCCCAGATTATAGAGGTACAAAGCTGGCCCATGCCATCGAATTCTCCACTGGGGCCAGCTACCTTGTGTTATAACAACGTGGTGTGGCACACAGGCACCAAAGGCTGCTCCAGTTATGAGTCTTAGCTAGACAATCTGCCCCAGAGGCAATGATTCTTCCTTTTCTCACTAAATGGACCCCTTAAAGGCTTAATGATTTTTTTTCTTGTAATAGCCAGAAATCCATATTATAGCTCTATAGCACAGATAACTAAATTTTGAATATGTAAAGCAAAAGAATATTTGTTGAGAAGCCAAAAAGACTAAAACATGTCAGTGATCTTTTATTTAAAGGTCAAATTTACCTATGTGTATTAGTTATCTATTGTTAGGTAACAAATTACTCTAGAATTCTGTGGGTTAAAACAGCAAAAGTTATTATCTCTCAGTTTCTGTGTGTCATAAATATGACAGAGGGTCATTCGTGAGGTTGAGGCTGAGAAGTGGACCCGGACAACAGTTCTGTGGACTGTATTAACTGGGATGGAGGGGTTTCAGTGTGACTCAGATGAGGCTGTGGGCGGAAGGCCTCCATTCTGAGGTCACTGATGGAAATTTCCGTATGTTCGCTTCAGTATTCCATGATGTCAGCTGGTTTCTTCAGGCTATGATCCAAGCAGAAAAGTCGGAAAAAGCCACGATGGCATTTGTAACCTGGTCTTAGAAGTCAGACTTCTGTCACTTTCTCTCTGTTCAGTGCAGCCTACCCTCAGAGGCTCAGGAGAGGAAAAGCACTGTGGAATTTGTGCACTTCGAACTCACTGGATCATGACTGTTAGCTGATACTGAATTTTATTTTGTTCATGTATTTGCTCATTATCCCTCTGGACAGGGACACTGTTCTCAAATTTTGTGCTTTGCTATGATGAAAAAATGTTATCTGTGTATACACCGATTCTCAAATGTACATATCTAGTTACAGGATAAATTTCTATAATTGGAATTTCTGGGTTATGGGTGTGAGTAATCCTAAGTTTTTGCCAAGAGGTCATGGAGCATGTGGTGTTTGGTTTGACCAGCACTGGATGAATACTCATAAATAACATGTAACACAGCATGTTAATACACTCTTGGGAACATTTGAAACACTAGTATAAAGAGGCATCTCCTGCCTCACAGCTATAAGCAATCACCCAAGAGAAAGAAACATAGATACATGGAGAGTTATTCTGATAATTCTTTGCCTTAGCTTTGCCATGTAAGTGAATTATATTAAGTATGAAAGATTATTAATTTTTGTGGAATTGTATAAGAAAGATAAATATTATGGAGTTTCTTAGAAAGTCTTTGATAATGTGAGGTATTGGAGATAGTAACTGATTGGAATTAAGGTAACATATTCTAGAAAGACACAAGGCAGTCCCTGTCACAGAGAAAGGTCCTTCAGTTTTGTTTCCTTTCATATAGTAGGCATCAATTATCAGTGATTTCTTATCAGTATATGAGAAGCAAATCTTGTAATTTATGAGAAAATAACTATAGAAGGTGTCTGAGGAGGGCACGTGAGTACACATTGGCAGGGTAGGAAATGAGGGTACAGGAAACAAATTTCTGAGTTGTGCTTTAAGGCCTGAGGGAAGAAGATAGGGCACATTCTTTTTGAGTAAATAGTGCATGATTTATAAGCCAGCCTACAGAGTGGTGGGTACAGTGAGGAGGAAGGTGGCCTTGAGTGAGCAAGACATCTGCTCAGAGACCTTCATTACTGTGCACATCATTCTGATAATGGGGCCATAAAGCTCTTAGGAGATAAGAAGGTCACATTAGACCACGCTGATGAGAACAGAACTTTACGACACACATCAGTGCTTCCACCCAAACCCTGGGTGGCATGAGGGCAGACCCCTCAGGGCAGTTATTTCCGCAAAGGCTACCTTTCTTTATATCTCCATACTGGATATTAGATCACATCATATGAATCTGGAGGGACATTTATACAGTCAAACCACAGCAAGAAGTGAATGTGTCATTTCTGTAGTGTTTTTAAAGTTGCAAATCTTCAAGGACCCCTTGAGGGGGACATTAAAAAGTGCACATTAACTGGATGATGCATAAGGCACCTTCAATTCTAGATCTAGGCTAAATTTCATCAGCAATTATTTAAACTTTTGTTCCTAAATATTACATCCATTAAAAAGAACTAAGTCTTCCTGGTAGATTGTGATTCTAGACCAGGGGCAGGGAGGGTGGAAGATGAACCTAGTACATCAAGCTATGCCTGCCAGAAAGGAAGACAACTCCAACAGACTCAGGAATATACCAACTTGAAGGGGCTCCTCCCCGTTAATGATGGGGAGAAACGAGATTTAATATTATCAGTAGGTTAATCAATGTATTTAAACCCACCAACTTATCAAGGTGTTTAGAAACAACAACCTTACTGGTCCCCTTTGAAAGATGCTAAGAAAATAAGTATTTTGAGAACCAGCAAATAAAGGTGAAACATTAAGCACATCATTCCTTAGGGAACAGAATGTTTATGAACCAGATAATAGACGAGGCACATTTCTATCTATAGAAATATTTCTTCTAACAAGTAAAGGATCAAAGAATTACAACATCACTATTACCAATGGCTAACACCACAAAAAAGAAAACCAAGATTTTGTTTCCTGATGAGTGATGTTCTACCATTTCTGTACCATTGTTACTAAATTCAATCTGAGATGCTCGACTTAATAATTAATTTCCATGAAATACAAGATTGCACCCATTAGCATGGGTAAGAATGCAATTAACAAAATTCAAGTTGTGGGGGAATGTCTACAGAACAACTTTAGTGATTAAAAATGCATTACACCCTTATGAGAACTAAATGTCTATAAAATTTATTCAAAAATTCTATAAAGTTATTTTAAAAACTTTGTGAAAGGCAAATTTCAGCATTGATTAGATTTTTTATGACAATAAGGAATTATTGTAAAAATATGTAGGTGTCCTGATAGTATTTTGCTGGTTCTTTTAATTTCTTATGTTTCAAAGATACATTTAAATCTTTTCAGACTAAGATGTATAAAATTGGACATTTGCTTCAAAATAATTCAAGATCATGGAGACAACTAAGTAGCAATAAAAGCCCAGTGAAATCAGTCAGGAGTTGATTTTTAAAATTTAGTGCAAGTCTTTCTATACATTTGAATTCTTGCATTAAAAAGTACTATGTTCAGGGACCATTGCAGAAGAGGGGGCAGAAGGACTGTAAGAGCCAGGGTTGGTGCATGATCATAAGGAAACACTCTTCTGGGCCTCTGGGAACTTGCTTGTATGAACTTGCACAAGTTGCACAATGGTGGCAGCATGTACAAGACCCATGCAAAGTCACTTAGACAAAAACCCAGCGTAGAACTGGAGAACTGCGTAGGAGTTCCCCAACCTTAGCCAAAGAACTGTTGGCAACTGGTTACTGCTGGGTGAGGCAGAGTTGATCTTAAAGGGAGAGACTCTGCATAGGCTGACTAGGCTCCAGTGGATGAATCTGCACTGAGGGACATCTGGGTACACAAACTTCTATAGGTCCTAACATATATGACAGAATGCATAAAATCCAGTATGGGGTGTCGGGGGATGAGGATGGAGGGATGGGGATGGGGAAGGGGGTCTAAATGTGATTAAAATGTTTTGTATGAAATGTATAAAAATGCAATAACATTTACATTGGAAAAGGTATTAATTGTATATTGAATGAGTTTTAAATTTAAGATTGTTCTCTCTTTCTCTCTCTCTCTCTCTCTCTCTCTCTCTCTCTCTCTC